TGCAAAAGTCACACAAACATCACTTACTCATAGTGACAGCTCATGCTTTGCCTCATCCTCAGCAATTAGTGAATCAATAACAAAAACACAATCGGCCATCAAACGATCACTTTCAAACAGAGTTAAACGATGTTGTTTATCAACATGCCAGAATGGTCGACAAAGGCCATTTCTCAGGTATCGGCTGGCATTTGTCAGCTCAGCATCAACGCTCTCATTTCCACGCAGGGGCTGCTGTATCTTGCCTAATAAGGGGTCTTCACCTGGAAAATCTCCAAAGTACAATATCGCAAATTGGCGTTCCAAAGAGCATAATCTTTGAGGGTAGGGGGGGAAATTGAATGTTGCTTCGGGCAGGCAGATTTGGTTTTCATCCTAAATTGGAGTCTGATTTGTCTGCGATGACAGACTTGAAGCTATCATGGCAGATTATCGCGGACACAGGCAGGCCAGCTAAAGGCTCTGTGACGGCTAATACCGCTTTTGTCAATGTTCATCAGGTTGACATGTAGTGTACACAGTATATACACACAAATATTTGTGTCAGTGTCACTTCATATCTTAATTAAATGACAATGATCTGAAATAAAAATGGTGCTGCTTGACCCAATAAATACATTTGCTCCCAAAGTTAGCTCTACGGCCATCCATTTTCCGAACGGCTTACCGTTTTACAATTTACAACTACGGAAAATGAATAAATGAATGAAGGAATTTACAACTAACGCCCGTGTGCAAATAACGGGATATACACAAATGACCGACACGAGAGCCTTATCTCACCGAACCTAATAATATTTCGACTGGATTTGAAATCATTGTCCAAGAAAGCAGAAAAATAGTTTCTGAAATGAAATGCTTTCTTCTACCCCGCACGTCTAAGCTGGATTTGGGGGAATTAAGCAGAAAGAAATAATAGCACTGAGTCCACTTGTTTTGCTTACTCAAACTATTAAACTGCACATGCAAACACTGACTGGAGATAAATTCTCAGTAGAGCTGGTGTATAATGCAACATAGACTCAAGTAATTATGTGGGTCTGAACGCTTCATTTAGCCGAGGTTTATGACATTTCCTCGTATCTGTCTTGAAATGTAAAAATGAGAAATTCACGTTGACTTTTCCTCAACACTTCCATTTCGGGCTGTAGTGAATCGTTTTACTCACAAACTTGTCAGTCAGGGTTATACGGCAGTATGTTCAAATCGTATGTGTGCTGTAACGGTTTTTGATATTGATCTGTTGCTTAAATAGGATAGGACTCTGCGCAACGCATATGATCATTAAAGCGTAGGTAGAATCACGGGTCAAAGAAAGAAGATTAATATAGAGAGATGACCTTTTGGTGGGTGCGGGTTTTCTTGTTGGCTCAGCGGGATATTCCGGGTTTCGAATATTGTTTATGGATCACATCTCAGGGCTTCTGGTTGTTCACTCTCGGAGCGGATGTAGCGGGAAAACATGCTTGGTGGCGAGACACGCGTGAAGCCGTACCCAGTGTGTGTGCTAAATTGAGTGGAAATGAATGTCAGCGCAGAGCGAAAAATGGCTACGGGTACCGTGTGCGTGAGTGTTGCGCATGCTTGTTTGTATGTTTGTGCGTGCGTGTTCACAATCGTACGGACACCTGCTCCTTTTTGTAGTGATGGCTCCCCAAAGGGACACAGGCTCAGCTGCTAATCACTAGGCCCTCCCTGCAGCCCTGGTGGCCGGGCACGTTTGTGCATGCGCACACATGGGGGGTGGGAGGGGGCGGTGGGACACATACGCCTACGTGAAGTCTTTAGGCCCCCCTCGTAGAGGCTCTCAGCATCACTGTGTTCCCCGCAACTGACACACCACATGTGCTCATATGAGGAGCAAACATGACATGAAGTTGCACATTCGCATGATACGCACATGCAGTCATTACATGCTCCGGTTTGATATACACTATAGCTCATCGATAGAAGTATTTACAGGAAAAAAAAAAAGGATTGAAATACACCCCGCCCCACCCCACTATGTTTTGTTCAGCCTCACACTATAGCTCATTGATAGAAGTATTTCCAGGAAAAAAAAAAGAAAGAAAAAGCATTGAAATACACCCCGCCCCACCCCACCATGTTTTGTTCAGCCTCCATTCCAATGAATCCTAGCAGCCAAAGCCATTAGAGTTAATAAACTGCATTTGTTTTTGCCAGTATATCACTCATGAACCAAGGCTCGCACATTTCCATTTCTATGAATTCGGAGCATCTTTTCAACGTTCGGGTGGCTGCACCTGCGTGTTGTTCGGCGACAGCAGCAGGGCCGCGGAGCATAAACGAGTTAATTTCCTAGATGTAGAGAAGACTGCAATCAAGGATAGGGGGAAAAAAAAAGCGAGGAGCGGCAGATGGAAGAAGCTAATCATTATTGTGGTATCAGAGGTGACCTCTATCTATTTAGAGGCGTACATTCTTGTTCTTCGTTGGGTTCAGTCGAGTGGAAAAAGTGGTCCATGCCCAGCCACTTTTTTTTTTTTTTTTTAATAATTTTTTTTTTTACAGAAATGTTGAAACAGAGGCAAAAATTTGAGTTGCCAAACAAAGCCTCATGTCATATCGAGAACGTCAGCTGCCTGCAGTGGGCAATCAGCGGCGCTTTCTAGAAATGAACAATATTCAGCTGTGAAGCACGGCGCACTGCAGCTTTTTAAACGTGGCCTTCTTGAAAATTAAATCTCGGCTGACTGAAATATGGAACAATTTGCAATTCAGATTTTCCTCCCGTGCTCCTTTCAATTCATCGCCGTTGTCTAAGGTTGCACGACTGGGATTGCACGGTCATTCTGAATCTATACACATTTTGAAACTGAGAGTCACATTCACGATTGTTAAATGTATCATGAATACCACAATATTTAGAAAATAGAAGCACACACAACTAAAGACTTTACCCCCCCAACACACACACACACACACACACACACACACACACACACACACACACCCACACACACACATACTCTCACTCCAAAAAAAAACACACACACACACACACACACACACACACACACACACACACACACACACACTGATCATTTAGCGTTATTTGGGTCAGTCATAGTCAACTTTTCTGCTTTTATTTGGGTCTGTGAATTTCAAATGAAGCAATGCAACACTTGCTTTTGAAAACTACACTATGAGTAGAAACTATCTTCTCACCAAAATAAATAAACGCACAATTTATGTTCACAGCGGCTGCGGCATCAAATTGCGTGTAGCTCTCACCAATGTTGAAGAATGTGATGCTGCGTGTGAAGATTGTAACGAGAAATCGACCAGAATTTTCCAGCGCATTTGTCTAATGTATGCAAATGATCTCCCCGCGCTTAATGACGGTACCATTAATCACGATGGTCTTCTTTAAACGGGGTAATCACGCGTGCACGCGCGTGCATGCAATCACACACACACACACACGCGCACACACACACACACACACACACACACACACACACACACACACACACACACACACACACACACACACACACAGCAAATGTGCAAAATCACAAAAAGAATCCACAACCACACAGCTTGGCACGGCATGCAACAAGGTGCGATGAGGAGTTATCCATTATAAAGCTGTTAAATCCTCC